TGATAGCGCGAGAAGAAGAGAAGAGAAAGGGGGAGATTAAGCTTTGCGGGGACTTGCAGTTTACTTAGCCAGTTTCTGAAGGAGAATCGAAGTTATGGGGGCCAGCAGCAGGAGAAGGAAAAAGGTGAGATTTTTCTGAAAGAAGTGGAGAAATTTGAGATTTTTGTAGTATTTTTGTATTTCAATTGAGATTATTCTGGTTGATGGTGCATGAACATTCATTTTTGGGATTGCATCTGTTTCCTTGTATTCTTATTCTTATCCTGTTTTCTTAAAAATTTCCTTTTTAAATCTTAATATCTTTTGTTTTTCTTTTTCTGTGGTGATAATCCATGATATAAATTTCCATGAAAAATGTGTTTTTGGAGTAAACTTTATGGATTTTAGGTTCAATTTTTTTTTGTTTATTGTGTAGAGAATCATTCGGTTCATGATTTGTTTTCTTGATTATGACCGGTATATAGATACCTTAATACTTTTAGCTTCATAAAAAAATAAATATAGATTTGGGTACATACCATATGATTCTGATGTATTTGTATATTTAATATTTAAATTTTAATATTTATTTATATGTGATGTGTGCTGGAAGATTCGCGGTGACAGAATAATTATTTAGTGTCTTAGCATTGTATGAAAGTCCAACACACATTCAGATTACCGAATTAACATATAAAAACACCGGAAGCTTTTATGTCGAAAACACGAAAGTAAAAAAAATCACAGAGCTTAACCCAACTGAAGCTATCTACTACAAGTTTAGCCCAGGCCCTTATCCCACTGACTGGACAGAGTTACACAGTTTCTCAAAGTACCATATTCGTATGCCGAAGAAATCATCGCACATCAGTTAGGAACGATCACAATTGGGAATAGTTGATACTTTTTCCAATATGTAGCAAATAAATTCTTCTCCTTCGGCTTACATGTCCTCCACATCTTCAGACAATATTGGTAGCCCATAACTGCCCTCTATGTCTCTTTCTCCATCTAGCACTTGGAGTTGTCTCCGGTTTGGGCATTCATTAGACTTATGCCCAGGTCGAAGACACCTAAAACATTTACCTGGGCATGATCTTGGATACATGATGTCAAGATTGAAATTGGTTTTGGGATTGGGTCTTGACTATGTTTGATTGTGTTGGTTGACATAGTTTTGACCCGAAGAGTGTTCAATTTTGGGGGCTACATTCCTCGATTTTGCTCCAAAATAAAGACAGTGGATCCATGATGAAATTTAGATTGTTGAATTTCAATTTTATAAGCACAGCTAACCGCCTGTGACAGTGACCAAACAACATTCATTTCTAATTTCCCTTGAATCGATTCTTTTGAGCCACTGATATATCGAGCTACCAATTGTTTATCTAGTTTGTTCAAATTACTTATGGCACCCAGCCTATAAATTCTTTTGTATAAGCACTCACATTTCAATCACCTTGCATACATCTTTGATATTGTGGATATAGCATTTTCTCATAATCTTTGGGAAGAAAATGACATTGCAGTAGTTGTTTCATGTGAGTATAGCTTTGGACCATCCGATGGCCTTCTCATTTGCGAGCTTGAACTAGTTAAATCCACCAAGCCCTTGCTTCCCCTTGTAATTGATAGCATATATACTTGACTTCCTTCCCCGATGAAAGTTCATGTATTCAAATAATGCTTCTACAACTTGTTCCCATCCAAATAATCTTCAACATGTGAATGTCCATCAAAATAGGGTATATCTACTTTTACAGTCGGTTTCCGGATCTTCTTCGTCAGATTACCTTAACTTTTATTGTCACTATCAGAATCAGAATCCATGATGTATGCCTTGCACCTAAAGTGTCAACCTTCATTGAATTCAACATTAGGGTATGTGGAATCAAATCACTGGGATACCCTTCGATCTTGATTCATCTGAATGAAATATGCCATAGCTTGTACAGTTGCTAGATTTACTAGTGTGGTTGCAGGTGGGAAGAGATCTCAACCCTTCAGGTTTCGCAGCTAGTCACATTTCCGCTACAAACTGTTGGAAGCTGTGATCGATCATCTCTACCCTATTGGTAAGGGATGCGAGCATAACTAGCAAGGTCTCTCAGTCATGAACGTTTTTGTCGATGGAATGTTGATAGGTTCAACCATGGCTTTGACACCAAATGGTGTATTCTCAGGCAAACAAGAGGAAAAGGCGAAACATAAAACAATAAAATATATTTCTAGTAATCGAAATCTATAAATGTTGCTTATAACCTTCTCAAATATCCTTTTATACTTTCTTCAGTATACTACTAACAGTCGGTAATAAAATTATAAGGAAATATTAACAAAAAAGGACATTTCTGTCTATTTGTGGTACTAGCTACACTAGTGGGCATGAAAGTACATGAGAAGCCTTCGCACTGACAATACCAGGGCTAGTACAGTCTTATACGCCAATGGGTAATGATTGTCCATGTCAAAGAGAATCTTGTTGCCATTGTAAATGGGTCACTAAATCAACTTTTCCCCTTATTATGAAAGAGATCATCCCATGGGGTGAAACAATGAGGTAGATATACACCATCTCTCCTTAGATAGGGTTTGAAAGGAGAGGTGGGAGGCCAAGTACATTTTGATTTGGATGAAAGCAACATGACATTCATCTGTCCACTAGAAACCAACGATACAAGTGCTTGTCAGTATCTTGAAAAATGGCGGGCACTTATCCCAAATGCAATCTAAGAAGAGGGATAGGAAGGTTATGCACCATTCATGTGTTACACTTCCTTGATATTACTCAGAGAATCATATCTTTTAGTACTTTGATCTTCTTAGGATTCACCTCAATCCTACAATGAGTGATCATCAATTATTATATTTTTTTTTTGTGATGAGAACAAGAAGGTGCACTTGGCTAGGTTAAGCACATGCTATCATGACAAAGAAGTTGAAAGTGCTCCTTAAGATGAGAGATATGTCGGGACATCTCCAGGCTTTTCACCAATATGTTGTCAACTTGCACCTCCATTGTACGCCCAAGAAATTTTTTGAAGACTTTATTCATGATGTGTTGCAGGCTGTGCCAATTTTTTCAAACCAAATGAAATGACCTGATAGAAACACAAGTTTTTATCCATTTGAAAGGAGATAGCCTCCTTATCCATTGAATCCATCCTGATTTGGTTGTGCCCTGAGCATGTATCCAAGAAGTTGGGTATATGTTGTCCTGGCATGGCGTCAATAAGATAATTTATGCACAGAAGGAGAAAGTTGGCATTCGAGCAAGTCATATTGAGGTTGGTGTAGTCAACCCACATCATCCAAGCTCTGCTAGCTTTTTTTTATCACGGTGACATTTTTCAGTAACATGGAGTGATGCACTTCTTGTATGAACTTTGCTTCTAGAAGTTTACTTACTTTTGTTCAATTTCTTTTAGAAGGTCAAAACCAAAATTTTGCTTGTTTTAGATGATTGACTTAAAAGTTGGGTTTATATTTAAGGAATGCATGATTACTTTTGGGTCATTTCCATGCATATCGATCGGGGTCCAATAGAAGATGTCTTAGTTTCTTTAGAGAAGAGACACATAATTTGATTTTTTTCTTATGAAAAACAGGGAACTGAGATGCACAGTTCTTGAGGGATATTCATCCAAGAGGAGAATTTTGATCAAATATTCTATGAAGGAAGCTTGTTAGAATATGTCTTCATCCAGAGATCAATTTTTTTTATGTTGAGCATCCTTGATGGGTGTGGTTGGGCTTGCTTGAGGTAGCATGATTATGTTATATGTTGATCTTCATGCACAACGCCCATCTTGACTAGGCTTGAGAACTTGAGCTTGAAGTGTGACAATGAGGTAACATATTGAAGATGGATTTTGAGGTAGCATGATTATGTTATATGTTGATCTCCATGCACAACGCTCATTTTGACTAGGCTTGGGAACTTGAGCTTAAAGTGTGACAATGAGGTAACATATTGAAGATGGATTAGAGGAAACCCCCCACCCACTCATTGAAGAGCAGGGAACTAAGATCTACATTTCTTGAAAGAAATTCATATAAGAACAGAATGTTAATCAAGTCTTCTATGAAAGAAGCTTGTTAGAATATATCTTCATCTAGAGATCAAAGTTTTCAATGTTGAGCATCCTTGATGGGCTGGTTAGGCATGCCTGAGGTAGCACGATTGTGCAATATGTTGACCTTCTTGCACAACACCAACCTCAACTGAGGTTGGAAACTCTAGCTTAAGGTGTGACATGGAAATGACATATAGAAGATGGATTAGAAGCCACCCTTGAAGGGCGTGGTTGGGCTTGCTTAAGGTAGCATGATTGTGTTATATGTTGATCTTCATGGACAACACCAATCTTGACTTGGGTTGCAAACTTTAGCTTGAGGTGTGGCATGGAAGTGACAAATTAAAGATGGATTAGAGGTATTTCGACTTGAAAATGATGAATTGGATGGAGTGAGTCATATTTTAAGAAAATTCTCCCATTATGACAAGAATATTGATGATTTATTCGATTCTTACTAGTTGATTTTTAAACCCATATAATGGCTCATATACGGGTTGAAGTTTCTTCTCAATCAGCCGCAAAAAGTGAAAGGTTGGGTAAAGTAGGATGTCGATAGAGTTGTTATAATCAACCAATAACATCTTCACGTTGTAGCATGATTAAACAATCCCTACATTGATGATTAGAGGCTTAGTTAGGGACTTGAACTTCCTCCATGTCAGAATCATCAAAGGTTATGGACTCGAAGCGTGATTTCTTCTACACTAGTTCTTTAAATGTGGTGATGATTACTTATTCAGATAATAATGAACCTCCTGCAATTATATAAATTTTACCAACCATTTAGTGATTCTTGTGTTGTTGCTTTTGTGTTTGTTGACTCCAGTGAGAGAGTTATCCGTACATGTTGATTCATTTTGCATAAAATGACACGAGTACCCTTCTTTTTCAGTCTTTTGACCTCTTCCTTGATTTGTTTGCATGCCTTGGTGGTGTGACCACAGATTTGGTGGAAGTGACAATATAGCTCTTGACACCTTGAGTTGGGTGAGGCCACCTAACAGTCTCTTCATATTTGATAACCAACAAAATGTTGACATGAGATGTGCTATGCAAAGTATAATTTGATGGTCAAGGCTCACATTGTTGGTTGCAGGTTGAGGAGGGGGATCACGACTCCTAACTGTTCAACCTTCCTTTGTTGTGAGGTTTGATTAGTATCTCCAGAGTACTTTTTATTCTTGCCCTCAAATTTCTTGAATTACTACTTGTATGCATAGATGGCCTCATATACAACACAATGAATGAGTTCAACGTAAATGTAAACCATCACCCACATGAATGATGAGTAGAAAGATCCCGGGCAAAGCCATCCGAGTAAGCCTCTCTTAAATAATCCTGAATCCACAACTGAAATATGACGAGCTTCAATGGAGAATCTATAGAAGTAGTCCTTGAGCGATTATCCTTATTCCTAGAAAATTTCTGAGAGATGGGTCGAATCTTTGATGATCATTCTACTTATTATGAACAGCTCCACAAATAGCTTGACAAGCTCATTGAAGGTGTTGATAGCGCCTCCTAGGAGAGAGTAGAACTAGGAGCAAATTTCTAAGAGATGGGTCAAATCTTTGATAATCATTCTATTTTTTGTTTATATCTTTTTCTTAAATTACTCCAGAGTCATATCGGCCACCAGTCACCATGAATCTGTTCCCCTTGTCCAACGCAGCAGCCGAAGTTTCAAAAAAAGGCGAACAAAAGTAATTCTCTTTTACATTCATTAAAAGGCTTATTATTTATTCACAAAAATTTTAAATTTATTTTGAAAGTTTCAAAAAAAGGCGAACAAAAGTAATTTTCTTTTACATTCATTAAAAGGCTTTTTTTATTATTTATTCACAAAAATTTTAAATTTATTTTGGATTTTTAAAAATCTTTTTTCTGAATATTTTCAAAGGGAGAGAGAAATGAATGCTTCGTTAACCATATTTTACCGTGGAAAGATGATGGTTTTCGACAATTTTCCGGCCATGAAAGCTGAGAGTTTGATGGAAATGGCAAGCAAGAACGTTAACTCAGACGCCGGTGCTACGACAGCTTTACCATTGCCACCGGAGGCTCAAGCTTCTGGTAAATCTTCTTTCTTCTTCAACTCCCACTTTTAATTAGTACAAGTGAAACATAGGAAAATAGTTGAGGGGAAGTCATATGATGCTATATTATTTGTTTTTTGCATTATGTTAATAAAAAGTGATAACTACATACAAATCACCAGAAAAATTGATATTCATATAGTTAATCACTCAAGCAATTTTTTTTAACTACTGAACCGATGTATTTACACATGCCACGATTAAACAATTGAGAATTTGATAAGAACGAAAAACATGGGTTGGGGTTTTATCATAAATTTTGATATTTTGAAAAATGGATGAAACATTGTGGTTGATTTGTAAATAGCAAGTTTCGACTGGTCTGTATGTAATTGTATAAGAAAATAATTAACTAGTATTTAGTGTTAATAAGATTATTAAGTTAGATTAATATATCATATTTTGATTACATTTCTTAGTTTATTATTATTATTTTAATTGAATTCTTATATTTTTTTCACATCTTTTGCAGTAGACCTATCCATGCCCATTGCAAGGAGGGCATCACTTCATAGATTCCTTGAGAAGAGGAAGGATCGGTAAATAATATAATTTAGAAGCTAATTAATTAGTATATTTTTTTAAACAAAGGTATAATATTTTACCATAATTTAATTAATTTTTTGTTATGAGTTGACATGCTTGATTGTTATCTAATAATGTAATACATAGTATGATAAAATTATTTAAAAAAATTTTTCTCTATTTTCTAAAATTCTTTACTCCCAGCACAACATTAGTGTGTTTGTGCGTGCGCACGTTCCATGACCTGTTGGTAGAGTCACCTCTACGAATGTTATAAGTCCCCTCAAGGTCCCGAGTTCGAATCCATTGCCGGTGTATTGTCTTCTTAAAGCAAGTGGTACTCAAATTTATTTGCACACTACGTTGGCTCCCAGACCTTATGGGAGTTAGCACACTAAGAGTTGATCGGCGGTTTCTCCTGTCGATCAATCTTTTATATATATATTATAAATCTTAATATAAATATAATAAAAAAAATGGAAACCATTATATATATATATATATTGCTTTGATTTGGTTTGGTAGTTAATTAACACCAAGTTAGCTCCAAGCATTAGCTGGATGATGTGCATATAAACACATGAGATGATGTATAATTAATAGTTAATTAACACTAAGTTAGCTCCAAGCATAAGCTGGACAATGTGCATATAAACACATGAGATGATGTATAATTAAATACTTGCTGCTAATACTATTTAATTTAATTTTTTCTTGAATTTATTTTATTTCTAAATACAGGATAAAAAACAATGCACCTTATTTATTTAAGGGTCTGCCAAAAATAGAACCAACAATGTCAGAAATGAAGTCAGAAAAGAAGCAATCATGGCTTGCATTGGGCCACAACTGAGAGAAAATTTTTGTTGGGACGACGGGCATGATGACGATGACGTAGATCACATCATGCCGTCGAACGCACAAAATAGTGCCGTCCACATCTTCAAACATAAGTCCAGTTTTCCACATCTTCATACCAAAAATGTTGTTTTATAATTAGTGTGAAATATGGTTACCATTGAATTTTATTTTTTGTTATTCTAGTTCAACAATTTGTATTTTTATGATTTTGGGTGTACTGAGAAACTTATTAGTGGTAATGAATTTTAGGTTTTTTTTTTAATATAAATATGTGTTAATTCAAGATTATGTGGCATGTTGTTAGGGTTTTCACCTTACATTTCTTAAAAAATGCGCTCTAATTATTTTTGTTGAATTATTGGCAAATATTTTTAGCATTAAGAGAAAGAGAAGGCTTTAATCTCTCAAAAAAAATGCTCAAAGAAGGGGAGTTTTCTTTTTTAAATCATGACATGTGATATTGGTCATGTTTTTCATCCATATGCCTCTTTCTTTTATATAGGAGAAATTTATGCATTTACATGTATCATACTTACAATTTCTATAACAGTTGGTATTATAAAGCTATATATGAAAATGTGAATTTCACTTGTAATAGTTAGTGAAAGTGATACTTGTGATATGATATCAAAGGGTTGAGTGTCATGTAATCTTGATTTGTCCGTGAATCACACCCAAAAAATAGAGTGTAAGTAAGGAGAAATAAATATATATATATAGAGAGAGAGAGAGAGGAAAGAGAAAATATTAATCTTTTGTTAACAATTGCGTCAATCCTCTTTTATATATGAAATGATTCCTCTATTTATATAGGAGATGTTTCATGGAGTTGATATTACTTTTTTTGTCCCTGTTTTAATGGAGTCATTACTAGAGTATTTTTGTCATTTTACTAGTAATGGCTTGCATCTTGTTGCTCCCTACCTCAGTCAGCTAAGCTTAATTGGCTTTTGGTCAGCAATATCAGCTCGTTCGGCTTAGCTTAACTGGTTTATGGTCGACAAGGTCAGTTTGATCGGGTGAGCTTAGTCGATACTGATCGGCCAGTTGATATGGTCTGGTTTTCGATCCCTGACCCCTGATGAGGAGCTATATGCATCTTTCGTATGGTTGGGGATAATAGGGAACTAGATCTTCCATTGAATTGGCTCTCTTATGATAGTTTGCTCGATTACTCTTTTGTCTCGTTTCTGGATGAGTGACTTGTTCTTATATCATCTGGTCATCTTTGGCCTGTCACATAGTTCGGTTGGCTTTGGCCTTACGGGCTTGGCTCGGACGGCTTCACTCGGTCGAGCAAATAGGTCTCATAATCTACTATTAGCGGGCCTTCCTTCGTGTACTCTTCTTTTATGTACTGTCTGGTTGAATGATTCCAGAATTTCGAGGTAGGTTATAATACTTTATCGACCCTTGAATAGCTGGAATCAATGTTACACAAGTTGGTTTTATCAATGTGACTTTTGCTAGTTGAGTAGCAAAATACATTGGGGAGGTAACATCGATGTTGACATCCATTTTTGATGCAACATATACGAGATACCCACACTGAATAATAGGGGACCGTATTGAGATCATGTGTTGCCTACCACGACTTAGTGAACCCATAAGACCTTTAAGTCAACCTACAAGCACAATAAGTTGGGGTCTGCACCACCATAGTCATACTTAGAGGCGATCATCTCCTAGTTGGCATCATTTTTTTTGTGTCCCCCACGTTGATGTTCGTTCTTGCATCATAGGGTTGTGTCTTGTTGGTACGGATATTTTCATAATGCAGGTTGTCGAAAAATTCACCTCGCATGTGGTTGTACCTTGAATCTAATGTCTGGACAGATGGATTTGGCGACTTGAACCATTTTATTCGATGACACACTTATGGAGAATTTTTTGGAAATCTTAAGAAGCATTTACGACATCTATGAAGATACGAGGATTATGTCTTGCTTATATTCAGTTCTCTAGAGTTCCCATGAGTCATAAAGCCACTTCGACGGAGTTTATGAGGTCAAAAAGAGCTAATGACCAGGCGTGACCACACCCAGAACAGGTGCGGCCATGCCTAACCCTTGGCATGACCACGCTCGAAACCGTCGTAGCCATGCCCAAGGCTGCTTGGGTTGTGACAACTCCCGCCCTCAATGTGACCACGTCATCTAGACAAAGAGCTCGCATAATTACATCACTTACGGGTGTGACCACGTCTAATCCTTGTTCACCTGCGACAACCTCTACCCTTGGTGTGACCACGCCCGAGGTTGGCGTGATCACGTTGGCTAAACAGAGCGCCCGACGTAATTACGTTATGTCTCTGGCATGGTCACGCCAACCCCTCATCCGTGATGCTTGCTACAGTGGTGTGACCAAGCTCGAGTTCAGCGTGACCAAGCCGATTCAACGGTGGTCTGGCGGTGACGAAGACCAAACAGTGGTGGTCTTGCGATGGTGAGGGCGATGGTCAGGTAGCGGTGGTCCAGCAGTAACGATAGTACATGTCAGTCAACGGTGGTCTGGTGTCGGTGGCATTCAGATGGTGGTGGGTAGGCAGTAGTAGTTCGACGGTGGTGGTGGCCAGAAATTGGTGGTCCGACGAGTACAATAGTGGCCGGTGGTAGCGCAACAATGATAACCAGACAACTGTGGTTCACTCACGAGGATTGCGATGGCTCGACAGCGGTCACCGGGCAGGGACTATGGCGGCCAAATGACGGTGATCCGGTGGTGACAATGGTGGTGGTCGAGCAATAGTAGTTGGGCGACGATGGTGGTGAAGACTTTGGTGGCTAGGCATGGTGGTCCAGTGGTGATGGTGTCCAGATGACGATGGTTCAACTGCAATGGCGGTGGTGCTTGGGCAACAGTGGTTTGGCAGCGGTGGTGATGACGACGACAACATTGGTGGCCAGGCAACAAAGGTCCAACAACAGTGATGGTTTGAATGTGGTCCGGCTGTAGATCATGGGAATCCTCAAGAACTTGGAGCTCCTTTAGCCTTCTCCTCGAGGTGTAGATCGACCTTCACGAAAAGAGTGAGGATTTATAGAATCTATGAATGTCATCATTCATAAATATTGCATCAATCTAAACCACTTCATCATATGACTCAGAGTGATTCTCTGATCAGATGTAGTTTTATGAGTATTTGAATGCATTGATGATGTCAAGTTTAGGTGATCTTATGCTCTTTAAATTCGTTTCATTGGGACGCTCGATTTGATGAACTTTTTAAGAGATTTTTTGGCCTTTTAAAGTATGTTTCAATGTTTTTTTTTTAATTCTTTAAGTACATGATTTGGGCTAACTTTGACTTAGATCGAACTGTTTTTATCTCGTTTGGTTCGTTTCACTGAGACACTTCACGTGATAATCAATTGAAGTGTGTTAATCAATTGAAGTGTGGACATTTTTAAATTTATTTTTAAAACCTCTCATCCAAATGTGCGTCTAGATTCATTTTTAAATTTACTTTTTAAAACCTCTCATCCAAATGTGCGTCTAGAT